CCATGTAAAGCTTCATAAGAGAAGTCGGTACAATTTCGACGTACTCGATTGGATTTTCGGATCCAAGACTTGATCGAAAAAAGCTATGCGAAAATAGAGAAACAGCCAACGCTAAAACGATTAGTTACGCTAAAAACGTTAGGGTGACGCGGTGGAATATTTGCTAGGCGCGGATCGTTCAAAACGACCTTGGCCATATGTTTGACAGAAGAACACCGTTCAGTCGTGCTTTTCACCGCCTTTTAAGTGGCTTGAGGCGTCTCTAGCAGAAATAAAAGCGTATGAATTTTTCATTTATGAGTGCCGTGTACATTTAGTTGAAAAGTGAAGAAAGAGGTCAAGCTGTTCTAAACAACACGTACGATGACGGTCTTTTTGCTACTCTCTAAACATTTATTTCACTCAATATTGATAGTTCGTTTCGTAGACATTCTCATAATGCTTCTAGCGTGTTTAAGTACTTTACTTCGAAGCTTTTTGCTATTGGAACTGGTACACTTCAGTGTACTTATGTAAGGAGACGGTAAAAGAAAAACAAAAAACTATTTGGCAACGAATCGAGATCACCAGTAGAACCAGACCGCGGCATCGTGCTACGAAAACCACTGGCAGTTCGTCCTAAGTTCTGCTCCTTGCTGGATGCACTGGCAAAAGAACGTCCTTAAGAGTATTCCTCCGTAGGCACCAAATCATGCGACAGACGTGTACTGTATGGATGAGGACGAGTTTCCCGCAGCCAATATTATTGAATATCCTGCAAAGAAAAGTTAAGTTCGATGCCGATCGGTTGTCTCAGAACTTACCATGTTGCTCGAATGGTCCCTCCGCTCATAATTAGGGCATTAGTCGATAGACCGCTACACAATTCATCAATGTAATTTTGTTTTTAAGGCTTAATTTGATACGAGCTAGCTCAAGTAGTCGAACTCAAATGTTTAGGCATCGTTTGATCCGCCATATCTTCAAGTCGAACAGAGACAGAAGCTTGTTTCAGTTATTTTTTTTGTCCAAACGTGTCCAATGTATCTGCAGTAACCAAACCAATGGGTTTTCTTTAGTACGTACGAGTGACTTCGACATCAGCCACATAAACCAAGTCCGTATTGTTTATATAGCCCCACAGGGATATCAAATCATTTATCTACTCTGAATTACCTAGAATACTGATGACAGCCAGAATCGTACATCATCTTAATAATAATAGAAATAATAGGTTCCTTTATTTAACTCTATTCTCGGTTACATTTCTGCTTGAATGCATTTAGCTGGCATTTTCCTTCGCTCATATATACTCGTAGGTAATAAATAAATGAAATAGGCGGTCCGGTGGTTCAACGGAATTAGGCCGCGTCTTTGTATAAAACGCATACTTCAATTACGTCGGTAACAAACAAGGCGTTTAATGGCCACACTGATATTGCAACAATGAAACAAGGTCAAACAGAAAAGTAAATATTTTGTGGCCCATGGTAAGTGCTTGGCACGTTGCCGTCAGTAGCGAGATGTTGGTTCATACATTTTCCCCAAAGGGTAGCATGACAGCCCAAGAAATGTAACACTCTGAATAGTTTTTGATGGTGACGAACTAAGACTAACAATAATAGTAAGAAACCGAAGATGCCTCGACCGATCGGTGTTATTCTGGCAGATAAATCACGTAATAGGATTGACCCGAACGACCTGTATAAGACAACAGCGATTTCTAATGCTCTACTTATCGAAAACCACGGTTTATTGGTAGCACGCCATCCGACGACCACAAGTTAGAGCTACTTAGTTCTGGTATTTTATAATAGTAATGTGTTTTTGTTTTTCAAGTCTTCTTTGATGCACTACATTTCGTTTCGATGACCTTAGTTACGTGTAACGTCGAAATTGTGCTAGCGCGTATCATTCTCAGATTTTTTAATTCACTCTCCGGTTTACTGTACTGTCTTATTATAGTGTTGATATTATTTACATTTGTAATTGGGTCTAGACGAGTCATAAGCCAATAACTAGCATTTAGGGTTTAAACACAGCTTTAGCAATCGTAGATCCGAAACAGTCGTTCGGGCCGGATGCGAGCGCATGGTACCGACTGAATTAAAAAATTTCTGTTATATATATATATTTTATACTGATCATAACAGAGTTGTGTCTGTTTCTAGATAACGACATTTATAACGACAGGTCGCGTATTTAGCATTAGGATTAACAACTTTGGTCGACTTCCGTTTGGTTCCATAATGTAACGGCTAGGTCTCCTTGAAGGCTACTTATCTTCGCTCATCGTTCGAACACACAGATGTGGCGTGAAACCAGCGAAGACCCGCAAAAGTTCCGTTCTGGGTTGTCCCATTTTTCGTTTTGTCGCTCGGTGAACTTACTCTCAACATGAGCGTTAGCTCATTTATATCAATGATTATATTATTTATGTTATATAACTGTTCAATTAATA